CCAAGAAGATCTTTATTGGTGCATGCCTAATAAATATATTTCCCCTGTATTCAAGGAGAAGTAGAATGATGTTCTTGTATGACACAGATAATGAGAGGTTTTCCAGTCCTTTAGAATCTAAGGAGCATGTTACAAACCATCTATTGGGTTAAATATTTTCTAACATCAATAGGTTTGGATAATCCACTGTCCTGGAAAAGCTAGCTAAGCTTGCCCCAATGTTATTTTTTTTTAATCAGTTTTGAAACAGTGGGAAAATTGCAGAAGACTAGAAGAGAACTAATATGTGACGGTATTCAAAAGGAGTAAGCAGGATGATCCAAGTAATTATAGGTCAGTTACTTTGACATCAGTCACAAACACAATAACAGAAAATTGATGTAGGTTTCAATTAAAAATAATTATACCCCCATGCTTTAATTCATGCCAAAAAATATTGACATCATTTTATGGAAAACTGGTCTTCCAAACAAGTCTCTCCATTTCTTGAGAAGATTACAAGCTTGATTAATCAAGGTGACTTTGTAGTTAATAGGCTCCTTTGAAGTGTTTGACTGAAAATTAAACTGAAAAATTAGCATTTTGCAATAGCAACAGAGCACATATGAAAACAGATTAAGAACTGGACTAACACATACACATGAATGGACAGGTTGTAGGATAATCAAAAGGTGAACTCCTTGTGGGGATCCTCAGAAACTAATAGGCTTGATACTCTTCAAAACTGTTGTTGATCCAGATAACTATTGCTAAAGAACATAGCCTTACATAGTCATTGAGCCTCTTTCCAGAAGTCCTATCTCTTCTCTTCACTCCTTGTGGTCTTATTGTAGTAGCTTTCTGCCAGGTCCCTGCTAGAATAATAAGTTCTGAGCTCCTTCAGCCTTTTAGAACTACCACCTGAATAGCAGCATTGATTTCCCTGTGACCACTGGAGCTGTTAGACACAGCTGGAGACAGCTCCGTTTTGTTTTAACCCCCAATTGTGGAAATAGTTTGTGGATTACAAAGATTTTCAAAGTGATCCCTAATGAGGGCAAAATAATCACACAGGGCAATGTGGATCACCTGGTGATCTGGATCCATTGTAAGTGTACTTTAAGGCAACAAACATAATCAAATATCTGACTTATGACCATGCCTATGGAATGGAACGAAGGACTGTAGCCTGAGAAAGAGCAAGCCTGAAAAGAACAGTGGTCAAGCAAAACGTGAACCATCTTGCAGTCATACGAGTTTGTGTGATCCTTAAGAACAGTCAGTGGATTTTCCTTTTACATATAATATTGGTAAGACTAAATTACTACATACAGTTCTAGTGTCCGCATTTGAAAAACAGGAAAGGGGACAAAAAGGAACAAGGACAATGATGATCCATGAGCTGGAGAAAGACTTTGTAGGTGGATCTACACATGCAATTAGGGCAATAAAATAAACTCCAGCATGGTTCACACTGAAGTTTATTTATCCTGGGTATAGTGTTTACATGTGTACCTGGAACTGCAGCATATTGAGCTAGGGTGGAGCAGCCCTGGGCTGGCAGGCTTATGGGAGTCAGCTCCAGGCTCTGGGTGGTGGTAGCAGGCAGAGGAGGGTCTGGCTGGGGCATGAGGCAGGTAGCCCCCTCACCGCAGCCCCCTCATGTCCCAGCCAGCCCCAGTCACCGTCTAATTGTGCATTGTGGTGGTGTAAATTACTCCACCCTAGGATAGTACTTGTCCCAGGCAGTATTACCCTATGACAGAGTTAACTAATTTACTGTACCCTAATATGGCCACATGTGTAGACAGTGACACTTCACTATGGAACTAATTAGTTAGCTGCAATAAAGCACATGTGTAGTTGCATGTACCCACTGTGAACAGCTTGGAGTTTAATCAAAAAGACGATGGATAGATGGCTTGCTTTTGGGGAGCTAGCACCAGACACTTACAGCCCAGTTGACCAAATAGTCTATTCACTGTGCCAAAGACCCCACCTTCCGTTATCGACTTGTGAAGTTTTTAAAAAAGCACCTTCATGGTTTCTTCCATGCTGCTCCTCAAGAAAAGGACTAAAGCTATAGAAATATCTACAAAACCACCTCTATTTATTTCTTTACTTGATTTCTGTGCTGTCCTCTCCAAAGCAGTCTCCAGGTGACTTACAATAAAAACAAGTTATAAAAATATATAAAATAAAAATTAAAACAATTCCCCCAAGACTACCCCAAAACTTGACACACCTGCTAGAATCCTGCCTAAATTTAAAAGGTCTTACACTGCTTCTGAAAAAAACCAAACATGGTTTCCAGTATTGTCACATAGCTCTCCCATCTGTCTGTATCCACACGTTCTCCCCATCTTAGATGTAACACTGCCATTTTTTTGGAACAAGGCCTCTGCTAGTACATTGATACAATCTTAGCACAAGGGGATACAGAACTGGAGCTCTCAGTGAACTGGAAGCAGAATCTAGGGCAAAGTTTGAGTCAAAAGTTGTCTGAAGACAGCCGTCATTCAAACTAGACCTTGTAGAAGGTCTTGTGAAGGGAAAAGGTGCCACCCCTCTTCCACAGGAACCTATTGGATATTCTCCTGCTTTGTCAGCCTACCATTACCTATTCTTGGCTCTGATACTTTTCTCAAATTTGACAACAAAATTTCACCTTCAGAGATCTGTCTTCCCTGTATCCATCTAGTCACTTTTCTCCTTTGCAGCAATATCCTTCCTATTTCATCGTTTCTTTTGCAACTTTCCTATCAGACCCCTGCTGATGAGATCCTTCAGGATAATCCTCAGTTTTTCCTTTCTTCCACATTGAGGAAAGAAAAAAGACTGTAGCCTTTTATCCTTAACCACTCCTCATTAAAGGAAGCTGGAGAGGTAATTTGATTTTCTAATAGGCTTTTAATGACCCTTGTAGAGTTGGATATAAACTCTATCACTGATTTTTTTCTCCCTGCTCGGCAGATAAAGGAAGCATCCTCTGGTAGAACGATACATTCCCGGCCAAAGAGAAAAAAATTTGTGGTCAGATCCTGATACTCCAGAGGAATATGTTTGGCCGGCAATCATTGCATATTTATTTTATTAGTAACCAGAAGAACATGTATGTGAGAAACTAACTTCATAACCCATCAAGAAGGTCACTCAAGTAGGACAGAGGGTATCCTGGGTTCCACTCTCTTCTCCTTAGACCACTTTTCTGTTTTGACATTAGACAATCATAAAATAAATGCGTACCCAGCATTAGGATAAAGGCTGGTACCTAGGAATTCCTATTTTCCTGAGTGACCTTTGCAATAAGCTACACAGCCAGCTTCCCTCCCATTTGTCTCCTCCTGGCTCCATGACTCTTGTATTCCTTTCTGCTCAGTGACCTAACTTTAACTGTGAAGATTCATGTGGGCAAGTGCTCCCACCACAAAAGTAGTCCTTAGCTGCTGAGGTCCAGACACAGCACAAGGTCCTTAGCTGCTGAGTCCAGACAATATGGCAGAGCCCCTACATGTGCAAACTAGTAGCTGAACTTGGCACACAAATCACTTTTTGCCAGAAGATGTCAGCACCTAGGTCTCGCGTACATAAAACAAGTTAGTCAGGGTTTTTGTGAAATCTGTTTAAATCATAAAGCTCTCCTGTGAAGCCTCACCCTTTAACCCCTGTAAGGGGTTTGGGGTCAGCTTTCTCCTCAAAGACACCAAAAAGTGGTAGTTTCAGCCCTTAACAGCTGTCGCAGCATGGATTATAAAATAAACCTAATCACAGGCCTGATTTCTTACTGCCTCCTCCCTTTTCACTCAGTCATTCTCTACATCGGTGGAAAAAAGATGTAAAATATACACTGCCATCCTGATGTAAGCAACACTACAAGGCAGTACAGAATCAGGGCCTGTCTGATTTAATGGTTTGATGCTACTGATTACAACAATGCACTGCAAAGCTTTCCTGACTGAAGCTGAATCAAGTGAGAAGAGAAACAGGCATGTATGCTTTGTGCGACAGACTGCAGGCCCCAAATCCATGATAATATTCATTTTTTTATTGATATCTGTACATTTTTACTGACAGGGTCAAACACAAACGATCCAAATTACTTAATTTAAAAAGTGCTTGCATAGAGTTCAATATTGATGCCTTGTTATGGGAAAACACCCTTAACAAAAGAAAATGAAGTCAAGAATGATGGAATAGGCCCATAGTTCCAACATTACAATTGCAAAGACAATGAAAAATCCCTACAGCATTGTAACCCTGCATGTCAGCTTGTAATGAATTCACCATTTCAGTTAATAAAATGCCCTAAATCTGAGTCTCATATTGTAAGTGATTGTCAGTGAATGTGCAAGGACAAAAGAGAACCATGAATCTTGCGTGTGAAAGATAAAAAAAAAATGATCCTAAAAGTGTGTATGTATGGCCTGACTATGCAGCCCTTCCTCAAACCAGGCTCTAACTCATATCAATGAGAATCGTGCCTAAGTAAAGAGTGTTCAGGTTTTTATTCTGGTAGATGGTAGGAGGAGGAGTAGAAATGTATTTTCTAAATGAACATAATTGCAGATGTGCCTTTTATGGATTTATTTACTTAATGGTTCTTAGCAATTCACATATGCAGAGAAACTAATTTTTAAATATAATGTTAAATATAATTTGTGAAACATAATATACTTGTTGTGCATGTTACAATCCTACCATCAATCCTAAAGGGAGGTAAGAGGCAGCTGAATACCAAAAGCCTAATCCTCACACTGTAAATGCCTTACACTTAGAGCCTTCTCACTCATGAATGAGAGTACAATCACACATTTCAGCTGACATCCAGTAGTATAAAGCACTAACAAAGCTCCTCCTGACAGTCTAATAATGAAAATATAATTGACTAAGTAGTATTCAAACCTGTAATGAAAAATGCAATGCTAGTCATAAATAACCAAGATAACTCATAAAACTGGATTATTTAACAAAGACTGTAAAGGTTGAATGACAGTAAGCCTAATTGCAAAACATGAGCTTTTTTAGATTGTAGTAAGTGGTTATTTGAAATAAGGATTGTAGGTTCTTCTAATTTTCATTGAAACTGATCTAATTTTGACTGGTTTTTCATTCAGTGTCCACGTATCCCAATGAATCCCTGTTGCAAGAAACCTTCCAGTGAAACGATGAACACCATTGAGATTCGCAAGGCCACATTGGTTGAACCACCACCCTGTCTTGTCACTGAAGTTACTGCAGCTCTTCACAGGCTGTTCCTTAATCGTGCACACTGGCCTGCACCCATCATTATCAACATCAAAGGTGCTGAAGGGCATTGCGTTCTGGTTATCTTCCTGTCTGTATCCCCGAAATGCATCACCTGATTGAGACAGATCCAAAGTAGATTACTTATATGGAGAGAGAATTATTTTTGTACAAAAAGGCTAACACTTCCACTTCATACTAAGTTGTGGGGTTTTTCCTACAAATTTGTTACAATGACATGTCTTCAAATATCCCAGGTGGCAAGATATAACAATTAGAAAAGAAAAAAAATGATTGTGTGTTGATGTTACTCAGTTGTGTAAGTGTAACAACTCACACGATAAGGCTCCAAACAAGTCACTCCACCCTGGAGTAAATTTGCTCCTCAGATAGTGAGGAGTAACTACACAAGAGTGTAAAAAGAGTGTAAAAATCATGTGTCAACCCTCCTAGTCAATTTCATCCTTTGCTCAAAGTAAACCAGTCCCTTCACTTCCTAGTGGTCAGGGTACTGTAACAGTTACTGCCCATAGCCATTTTAGAAGTTCTGCCCTTCTTTCTGTTCCTAATTAGAATAAATTCACCATGGAGTAAAATCAGGGATAAATTATTCTGTGGTAATCATGCCACACTCTTTGCGTGGCACTGCTGGAAATTCTCATCAGACCTAATTAGCTAGCTGACAGAAACACACTACATTATTTCCAGGTCCAGTTACTCTACTCCCATATTTCCAGTCTGGGAGGTTGGGTTGCTGTCTGTTTGCTTCAATAACCTATTCTGACTCAGCCGCAATCCACAAAAGAAAGGTCTGTGGCTGCCACTGTGACTGAACACCTTGCAGCTGTCTGCAAACAAAGTGACCAACATCAAAAAAATTCCCATCGTCTTCAGTATGTAGGCCCAGAGCAAGTGAAACATCATTAACACTGAATTCATATTTTTTCCCTTAACTAGAATCTACTGTAATTGCCTTGCTAGCAGAGTTCATTGATACATGACTCCATTGAACATAATTTTTAAAAGGAACTAGAAGGTCTTAATGTAAAATTGGATGTTTTATGCCCACATAAAAGTGGCATTCATGAAATCAATCACCATAACAGTAACCATTACTCATTTTTACAGTTTTTACATTCATTGTGCACAGAAATACTATGCAACTTAGAAGTAGACATTTTTTATATTAGCCTACCTAAACATTCCATCTTCTGTACCTTTTGCAGGGAGGAAATAGATTTCTTTTAATACTTAAGACGACAGTCTTACCTGCATTTCCTGAATAGCGCCCTAAATGGATTTTAAAAGAACATACTTCATCCTCTACCCAAAAATTGTCATAAGAGGCATACGCATATCTGTCATCCTCAGATTCCAAAACCACATGAAGCTGGAAGCTGGCTGCTTTCTGATTTACTATATGAAAAATTTTCCTCAGGCCAAGCCAAAATTCTCCTGTAAAAGAAATGTAATATAACCTACTTAAGAACATATTGATCTCTTCCATTTTTCCCTACTTTATTTTGTTTCCTGAATCAAACAAAATGGATGATAAAACTGATTGAAAGGAATATGTTCATTTGGAAGATTTAAGAAATGAGACAATTCACTTAGGAAGTCCACAAACTGGATTTTCATATACACATTATCTTTTGTTATGACTCAGCAATGTGTATGCAGAATTGAGAACTGTCCTCATTTTATCTTTTCCTTTAATATATTCTCTATCTCAGTGATTCTCAACCAGGGTGCTGCAGCATATTGACACAGTTAGATGTGCAAAATCCTACATGTGATTCACAAGATAAACCGAGAGATTTCAACAAGGAATCCATAATGTCACAAACAAACTGACCTGTTGGGGTCTTCCTGAGTTCTTTGTAACAGAAAAATCAAACTATTGCTTTTCTGAAGCCATATAAAGGAATGAAAGCTAAGAACTGACATTTTCTGAGGGGTGCTTTGCATCTAAAAACACTGGACACTGACAGACATGGAAAAAAACCAAAACAAAACCATGCTTTACCAGAAGCAGCAGTGCATTACTTTGACCCAGCTCTGTGGCACTTGTATAGATTGGAAACTTCAGTGGGGCTTTTTGGCACTTTTATCTAATAGCTATTAGCTGATTCAATCAGCTATTAGATAAAAGTGCCTTAAAAGCCCCACTGAAGTGCCTGATCTATACAGACATTGGGAAAGCTGATTCCAACTAATGCAATGCTTCTTCTGGGCATGTGCTGGGCTCGGCACGGGAGTATGCCAAGTTTAAAGTGCCATATTTTTTATTTTATTTTTTTTGTGTGGTGGGGGGCGCAGTTTTACATCTGTCAGCAATCACTGAGAAGTATTCCTTTCACTGAGCAAAAATGGGTGTGGGTTACCTGCTAGGCCCAAAATAATCCAATGTTACTCATAATGGTTCATTTGTAAATGGTACAGCCATACAAAAATCTAAATCAATCCTCTTGAGTAGAATTTATTTAAGAATTAATATTTCTGCTCGTTTCTAAGAAATGTAGGTCCAAAAGTCGGCTGCAGAGCTGAAAAGTCATGATCTTTCCTTCTTACTACCATTGATACAATCCTGGAAGAGGAGCTGTCCTTGGATTTGTTAGATGAAAGGGAGTAGCTGGGAGATAATTCCACCATTATGCCATCTGAAACATTTCCATTATAACCCCACCTTTCATTGCCTCATGACTTTCATAACTTGCATCTATGAGATGAAACTATGCAGGTTTTGTTTCTGCTTGACAGACAATGTTGTTTGGAAGTGTGATCAAAATGATTGAGGTATTGTTTAAATCTTAAACATACTTTCCACATTATGAAAGGGGGAAAAGAACTTTTTAACGGTTCTGACAATAAAGGCATGGAATTTGTATTTGGGGATGGTTATTACTGAGGAGTGAAGAGAATTTAATTCATGAAATAATAAAAAGTAACTTTTAAAGAGCAAGAACTCTATTTTGCAATTCTTAGACAGCTAGAAGGCCCTTAGACTTCTGTAGGAGTCTTGCCTATGCTGTGGCAATCAGATTGGTTCCAAGGCCTGTTTTTTACATTAATAAAATATAATTTATCTTCATTTTTCAGATTTTTAATATCTCTTGAACGTAAAAAATATTACCAGATAGATCACCAAATCCATCCAGGTATTCAGACCATGTCCTCTGGAATTCAATTATCCCATCAGTTCTTTTCTGAATCACAGTCCACCCACCTCCTTGAAAATCCATGTCACACAAAACCTAAAACAGACACATGAATGGCTGGAGTGAATAGATCTTGATCAACCATTTACTGATGCAGCTGTAATATGGAAAATAATGATTTTTAAGTCAAACATTCAGAATTTTACAAGGTAACTTCTCTTTGAAACATTTCAACAAAAGGACTCAAAACAGATCACTGTAACTAGTAACCTACAATTTTTTGTTTAATTTGCCTGTTAATTGGTTGGAAGACTTGCTAGAGATTCATTCAATCAGGGAAACCGCTTTCCATACATGTACATGTCTTGTATTATTATCAGAAATTATATGCGTGTCTCAATAAGTATTGTGATATGGTATCTTTACCTTGGCCTGAGCTGTAAGTGCCATGCCATGATATATATTACCAACTTCCCATCACAGAACTACTTTTAGTTAGAAACTGCGCTTAGATACAGTTTCAACATGATAGACAGATGGGCTTCTCCACTCAGGGCTGGTGATTTATGCACATTCTTCCCATTTCTACTTTTAGTCTACCTCTCAATGAACTTCACAAACAACTTCTCAGCATCTGATGAAGCCTACAAAACCCCATGACCCTCTGAGCCAGTTAACTTCCATGGTGCCACCATGCTCTGTCTTCTGCCCGACTTTAGACTAATATGACTAAATACCTCTCAGCAACACTGTGAAGCAGTACCAATCCAAACTTACCAAAAGAGAACTATATCACCAACTAAGTCCCAAATATCCAGAAATGACCATTGGTGTTGATTATCTCATTGTTCTCTCATGCCCTACCAGAAGCATCCTGGGACTGATATGCTGAGGTGATAAGCCTCTGTAGCTCCCTTGATTTCAGCTGAAGCTACAGGCTTTCAGCACTTCTGAAAATCAAGCATGCTGGCTCACACTGGACATCCTAAACCACTTATTGCCTCTTTTCTTTTGCTGGAAGTCACAGAGAAAATGTGGCACAGATGAGAACAGGACCTGAATGTCCTGAACATACTTCTATGTCTGTTCCTGCACCTGAGGCTGTTTTATTTTATTGTGTTACTTTTAAAAGATTGCTTATTTTTGCTGGAAATTATTTTTACAGGACTAGTCTGCCTTTTTACAAATTTGTGTTTTAGTTATATTTTGCAAACCTTCTAAACTCCTGACTGAATGCCTTGGCAATGCATCATGTGTTGTTACTTTTGAAGTTAAATTAATGTTATAATTTTAGATGCATCTGGCAAAAGTTATAGCAGGGAGAGTAAAAAATCCCTCTCCTCACTGAAAGGTTGTAGTTATATCTTCCTCTGTAAATCACTGGCAATCCCTTGATTCCAAGATGATCTCTGCCACAGCCCACTGATGGGTCTTAAAGTGACTTGAGAGTCCAATCCTTGAGTCATGGATCTGTCTGCAGATGTTTCAGCTCTTTCCACAGGAGAGAATAAGCTGTAGGGTTGGATTCTTCTCCTTTGCCACTGTCCACTCTTTCTTCTCTGCTTCAAGGGCAGGACACTTTACATCAAAATGGGCTGCTGCTTATTGAGGTTCTAGCACCATTGGAGTCAGTTAGCAGCCAGCTCCTCCTATGGCTCTTGATGTTGGCATCTGTCTTCCTAAGATATGCCTTCAAAGTGTCCTTGCAGAATTTCGTCTAGCCACTATGAGATCTCAGGCCATAACTAAGATGAGAACAGAGCACCATGCATTTGTCAGCACTGAACTTCATTCTGTTAGCTCCAGTCCAATTTTTCAATCTGTTAAGATCTTGCTTAATTGTGATCTTGTACAAAATGTTCAGTCCTTCCCAGTTTCATGTCACCTGAAAATTTTCTCAAGAAGCTCTCTAGTTCAGCATCCAAATAATTAATAAACATGTTGAACAGCACAGCCCTAGGACAGATCTCTGTGAGAGACTACTCAAAACCTGCTGCCATTCTGACATGGATCCATTTATAATTACCCTCTGCTTAAGCCAATTGTCTATGCACCTTATAGTAGTTTGGTTTAGCTTACATTTCTCCAATATTGTATGTTTACAGGATTTTGTCAAAAGCTTTGCTGAAGTCCAGATATATTAGCATTCCCTTCATCCACCCAGAGCATTCCCTTCATCCACCCAAGTAGTTAGTTTGTTGAAGGAGATCAAGTTTGTTTGCCACAATTTGTTTTTAGTAAATCCATGCTCACTGCCTGTGATGAGTGCTTCCTTCTCCAGATGGTTTCAAATGGACTTCTTTAGGATATGCATCCTGGGCATTCAGGTGAGCCTAACCCATCTGTAGTTCCATGGGTTCTCCTTTTACCCTTTCTTTACAGAGGGGCAATAAGTTTCCATGCTTCTGGTACCTCTCCCATCTCCCACACTTTCAAAAATGCTATTACCAATGCCTCCAAAATCACCTCTACCACTTCCTTCAGTACCTTGGGATGATATTCAGCCAGCCCTGCCCTGCTCTTTCTGGAATCGAGCATCTTCTGTTGACTTGAGATCATTCAGACACATCAAAAGCTCTCTGACCATTTCTTTCATTATCTCATCACTCAGCATGGCTCCTTCCTTATCCAAATAATCCATATTAGCTGTCTGGTTGCAGCTTAATTTTTGTGAGGAGATGCAGGCAAAGTATGTGTTGAGTAGCTCTGCCTTCTTGGTGGCTTCTGTTAAGAGTTCCCCCTAGCTATTTAACAGTGAACTGTAACAAGCCTTGTGGGTTTGCTACCCCCAGTTCCAGCAGGTGGAGGTTTGACCCGTCTGCTGCTCTCTCCAGTCCCACCCCACCTCTGTCCCTCACCTGCCATGCCTTTGATGTTATTGTTAGTTTATTGAGGTGATGATCCCTGGGAGTACTTTCTCTGGAGCTCCCCATGCCAGCTCTTTCCTTGCTAGTACAGCAGACCCTTGCCATTCGCGGGGGATACGTTCTAGAGATCCCCACAAATGGCGAAATCTATGAATACATACTGTACTGCATCACGAACGGAGTGTGCCCCCAGCGGCCGGGGGGGGGGGGGGGGGGGGGGCACGGCTGCACTGACAGCAGTGGGAGCCCCGTGGAGGCAAGCGTAGAGCTCCCACGGATGGCGATGGCGCTGTAAGTGTCATCATGCTGCCAGCGGGGAGAGAGCATGGGTTGGCACGGCACCGCAAATATTTGAAACGGCAAATGCCAAATCCATGAATAGCAAGGTTTCCTGTATGTCCACACTCAATCCTGGGGGTCTCTGTACTTCTCTCAAGATGCATCCCCTTTAAGGCAGCATATCACAGGCCTCTCTGCACCTGTTGGGGAGTCAGCCATCTTGGCTGCCTTTTCCCCTGGCCAAGTCCTCAGCCCTCACTCAGCTTGCTCTGTTTATGCCCAGGCCCTGGCCCTCTTAACTCTATCCTAGCTCACTCCCCCTGCCCCTTTGGAGGGGCCTGACACCCAGAGTGTCCTAGGCATCCTGTTACGTGGCGTCCACCTCCCCTTCAGCCACAATCCAGTCCTCTGGTTAAACTGAAAACACAAAATGCCAACCTAACTGGTCCTAACACAAATACAAACCTCTCTGGGTCACCAAGGTACCACTTTTGGACTGGTCTGATTGCCCCCTTGAAGACCAGAAACAGGGCTTATATGCCCCAAGCCCAGCCCCCTTCTGGTCATGTGATATCATCCTCTGCTCCCATCACCCAGGTTCTGTTGATTCACTCATTAGCAGTCTGTCCTTTTTCAGCCCATGGCTTAAGTTCACATAGGCAGCTCACATCTACTGTGGCTTAGCCCACAGGCTGTCTGCAACCTGCCTCCAGCTACATTCCCCCCTTCCTACTCACAGGTGCAAGGGTTTACATGGATCCACAGCTTATTTGGTCATTGTTTTCCGGCCAACATACTTATAGAACCTCTTCTTGTTGTCTTTAAATTCCCTCAGAGGCAGCTCATCTTTTGCCTTTGCTGTCCTGATTTTGTCCTATCAGGTTCTTGCTATTTACTGGTTTGCTTCCTCAGTGACCTGCCCATTTTTCCATTGCCTGTATGCTTTTCTTTAACATTTGAGGCATCCTAGAAGCTTCTTGTGCAGCCACATTGGTCTCTTAAAATCCTTCTTGTAGTTCCATTGAGTAATAACAGTTTCTTGTTGGGCTTCCTATACTGCGCCCTGCTGGATGACTTTAGCCTTCAATCTATCTTCCTATGGCACCATGCTTTTTAACTCCTTGATTTGATTGAAATCCACCTGTTTGGAATCTAGCGTCTTAGTTATGCTAACTTCCTGCTTTCACCATTGCAGGATCTTGAATTCTATCATACTGCAATAGCTTCCTCAAGTTTCCCATCAGTTTCATATCTTCCCCAATTCTTCCCTATTGTCACAGCAAGATCCAAGATAGATGTTCCTCTAGCTGTATCCTCAACCTTCTAGAACACAAAGTTGTCCTCCACACAAGTTAGAAATTGGATCAACGTTTTATGTTTGGCTGCCTTTTTCATCCAGCAGATGTCCAGATACTGAAGCCTCCCATCAGTACCATCTCATAACTTTTATCTTCAACCAAATATATCCTGATTGGCTATCCTTTTCCTGAGCCAGGAGATGCTCCCTGTTTTGCTGGTTAGGAATAATTTTCTAATTTCCAATGCAAATTTATTCATGGGCACTTCATACCAATTTTTCTTGTCCCACTGTCTTCCTTTTCTAGTGCTTACTCATAATGGATTTACAGACAACAGTTGTATCCTGCCTTGGCCTTCATTTGGCCGAGCTAAACAAGCCATTCTCTTTTAGTTTCCTCTTGTAAAATTTGTTTTCCATCCATTCCATCAGCATTAACTTTCTCTACAGCTTTACTTAGTTCTTAGATAAGAAAAGAATATGTTTAAGCCAGTGGTCCTCAACCTTTACAGTGCATGGGCCAGATGAGTGGGGCAGGGCCAGTCAGCAAACAGCCCGGGCCACAGACTGGCTCTGGCACATCAGGGCAAAACCAGTATGCGGGGCCATGTTATCCAACTCACGGGGATCCCACGAGTAGGATAACATGGTGCTGCATGTGTAGTAACAGGGGAATGATGGAAGCATTAATTGCTATAGGACTCTCAGAGCCATGGCAATTTACACTGCCACCACTGCCCCCACTGCCATATTTCTACACTCATGGGGAGCCCCATGGGCTAGACAACTCAGCTCTATGGGCTAGATGCAGCCTATGCACCATACCTGGAGCATCACTGGCACTGGCAGCCACACTGAGAAACAGTGTCTATGTTAAAATTGTGCGTCCTTGTCAGTTTTGGCAATAGCTTGAGAGACTAATAAAATAGCCACTGCAAGTAAATATCTTGAGGTCTATGCGGCCTAAGAGAATTTCTTCCAGCCCCTCAAGTTCTGTTTAGTTGTCACATTGTGCCTTGTGCTACTTCCATAGCCCTGCTATTCATGCCCATGACAATAGCACAAACACTTGTGAACACTGTGAGATTCTTTGTAGAAAAAAGGATGGTCCTGCTGTTAGGACACTGCCTTTGGATCAAGGGAACCTGCATTTAATTTCCTACTACACCACAGAATTGCTGTTATCTTGAACAATTGCTAATCCTCTCTGCACCTGACCTTCTTATCTCTGAACATATTATCAGTTTTATTGGGTGTGAGAAGGCATGAGAGATGTATATGGTACATCAGATACTAAGCTTTTCTCTTCCACATGGAATTCATTTTACATGATAAGGATACCAAAATTCTACACCAAAGATTAAAATTATTTATGGGAAAGATTTCAAATAGTAATGATGGCACAGACACCTGGATGATTTTTAATACAATTCTGATACTGAAAAACAATCAAAGAAAATAATTAAAAATTATAAAACATTCTTATTATATATTCTCAAGCAAAGTCTGTTCAATGTGAAATAAGTTTGTTACCTCATACGCAAAATTTGATCCTTCTGGGTGAATAATGTACAGGCCAGATGGAGTTTTTGAAACAGAACCTACGGTATCTTTAATATCAGTGCAATCCAGTCCTAGAAAACAAATTATTCAGTGCAGTGCAGGCTAAGCACCGTAAAACCAAATAATGGTTAAACACATATAGGCAGACATTTTGCTAAGGAATTTTGAACAATCTCAAATTATATTTTGTTGTAGATAAAATATAAAATGATCATTTGTCATAGTTTTTTTTAATGAAAATTTTCTCAGGTATGATCAGAAAATGACAAATTTTAGAGAACTTCCATTATACAATACCCCTTTAGAAAGTTCCTACAGAAGATTTCCTCTTCTGGCCAAAGATAAAGATGGAATATAATTTGTAATAAAAAATAGCACTGAAGAGAATGTAAATATTATACATCACAGGTCTGATCCTACACGTTATTTCGTATTAAGAATTCCCTTCATTTGAAAACTTGTTTAAATCTATCCTTATCATGTAGTTGCTCCAGTAAGAGATATCCACAAAAATCCTTGCCTCATATACTGAGTCAATGGAAGTTCTATCCAAGTAAGGATTTCAGGATAAGACTCTAAAATAATTCCTAACCTTCCTTTGCAGATATTTGGATTCATAGTTTATTAATCTTTTAATCAAACTATATATCAAAACTGCTCTGTTTCTGAGTTTGAGCTCAATTATTGGTTGACTTAGCAAAGTAAGCAGTCTCATAGAAGTTAATGGGACTTCTTGGAAGTAAATTTCCTCTGCTTGGAAGGGTGAAAACAAAGAGTACTTATGTGAAGCAGAGGTTTTGTACTTGGTTTTATGCACAGGTGTGACTTTTACCCAGTAGGAGCAAAGAAGCATTAATTTACAAGGTACTAAGAATCCTGTCCTCTCACTACAGAACTCAGCACCTCACAGTATCAAGCCCGTTCAAGTCACAGGATCAGGCCAAGTCTAAGCCTGATACTTTGCATGATTTTTTCCACTTAAAGTAAGCTTGGTTTAAAAACAGCAGTAGGAGCTGCCATTATCAGGAACAAAGTTTATGTTTGCCTAAAATCTCTCCCACACATGCAGTTGGTCCAACTAACGATATCACCCCTCAAAAATATCCTTGCCTCTTGCATATTTCCTAGACCCTCAGAGCTACAACATTATTTCAACACTTAACACCTTTAAACATTTTACAAATTTTCCAAAGATGATATATGGAGAGTGAACACCAAGTAGGTACTATAAATCCCATATTTTCTTCGCTGTGCTTATCTTATTTTTTGTCAGGATATCATAAAGGTAAACAGTGAAGTGTAAAGGTTAAGCAAGGTAAGTATTTACCATGAGACTGAACTGTTTTGTAAGGAAGCAGATCCAAATGTTTTCGCAATACTTCTGCATTCAAAAGAAGGACCCTGTTCATAAGTTCATTCACCTGCAAGCATAAGGTCATTTGAATATACTCAGACTGGAGCAGCAAGATTTGAATTCTAAAGACTTGCTTATTCCCTCCCAGGCGCGTGCGCTCTGAAATTTGTTTTACTGACAAATAGCAATGCACATGCCTAATGTATTAATGTACTGAACTCAACACCGAATTTTCCACATCTTGTGTCTGTAGTCTATTAGGTCTTGAACCAACCAGCACTAACATCAAGAAAAGTCTTTCAATGGACCAGTTGGGACTTTGACCAGGCCCTAATATCTATACAAAGTGAGTGTACACTGTAAAGTACAGTCAAATTAGCATGGCAGTATTGTCCATGGCATTTATACAAGTGTAAATCACTGTCCAAAGTGGAAGGCAGTAGAGAACTACATCTGAGATTTTATTGTTTTAAGTAAATTATAAACTTATTATTTAGCAACAACAACCATGCTAAATTAAAGGAAATTCACTAAGTATAAAGGAAAATGATTAGAAACCTGATTAGAAAGATAATCCAAAGACGACTGTTGATCATCCATCATATTTCTTATCATTTGTTTTGTACTTCTTGCATATTCAACAAGAGAACTCTGCAGATTTCCTTGAAAAGAGGTATTGTCAACCATTACATTATAAAACTGAAGACCCATTTTAAGCTGAATAAACTCCATATCTGTTTCATAAAGTTTAAGACCACTGACAACATTCAGTTAAAAAGGCAAGATGGGATCTGTCCTGCAATCCCAAGATTCATACCTCCTGCCATGCTACATGTGCATGGCAAGATGTGCAATTTTGGGATGGTGAATCAGACCCCAACTATGCCCTACTTGCCAGTACAAATAGGGACTAGCAAAAGTGCCCAACCAGCTGATAGTCAGCTGGCTCCAGGGACCCATTAGGCAGTTTGAGCCCCTGGAGCTGGCCACTAACCAGCTGGCTGGGGACAGCATGGGGACCACACAGGGACTTGTTCGAGCCCCACCGAATTCCACCCAGCCACACAGACATTTTAATCATGCATTTTAAGGCAAGATTGAAACCAGCCACAAGATCATTATGCATTCTTATGTAATAATTTTGTGGCTGTTTTTGCTTTTTGTTGTACCCTTAACTGCCTGAACATGTGGACAGATTACACTTTAAAACATGACTAACCAGTTAATCATGTTTTAAGCATAACATCTGCCAGGGGCCTGAGTGAATATTGAAGGTAACTTATTTCAGAGAGCTTGAATGAGACTTAAATCCTCAGTGGATGCAAATTGGCATGGCTCCATTCACTTGTGTGGAATTATGTCAATTAAGCTGAAGATCTGCCTCTGTGCAAACAAGAATCTCATCCTCATCACATTTGGGATGCTTAGAGAACAATGCACCAATGCTGAAAACCCCTGCTATAAGCATATGGTATACTATAAGAGAAATATAAGAGCTCTGTTAAAATATTCTGGTGCAGACTGCTTTAGTGCCCGTGTACCATGGCAATGCAGAAGAGAGTACAAGGAGTCCTCTCCCAGGTAGACATCTGCACTAGGGACAGACCATGGCACAGGCCTTCTGTGCTCAGTAGTAAATCATTTGCCTTGTGGGTCAGGTGCTGGTACATATTCTTAGGCAGAATGAAATAAATGCTGCATAGTGTAGCGTACTGTTCACTGCTGAAGCAAAAGCTTTTCTCAAAAAATACATACTGCACATGTACTGTTTTTCTCCACGTAACATCTTTGCTTGAACACTACATGGTACAAGGCATTGTTCTTTTTGCTTTGAAATATCTGCCGATTTATTTTTCTCACTTGCTTTATGAGGTTCTTCCATAACATTGACATTGGGTGTACCCTGTTATACCAAACAATGGAGGGAAAATTAAATTAATCATAAAACATATATAAAATAGTTCCTGAGAATCAGAAACAAGGCAAGGTATCATTTAAATGTTCCACCATATCATCTTTTTAAAAAGTTCAAGTAGTGTAAACTATAATTGTCACCTAATAAATCACAGAAAAAACAAAGTGTTATATCCTGCAAAATTATCTGGAGTGTTTCCTGCTCCGCAGCATCTCACAGGATTGAGACAGGGATGAATTTGTAAAAATTTTTAAAAGTTACTAACCTTTACACTGTGCATTGTAAACCATACCTGAACTGCCAAATACTACTGGGCCATTCACAATATAAGAGGTACCATATTCACTAGAAGATGCTTCCCATACCACATCTAAATTATTGTATTTACAGTCTGCTGAAGGGGTAGGTCCTTAGTGAACTCCTTAGGAAAAAAAAGTCTTAAATTCCTCTGAAGTGGAAGGTAAATATTTACATGAACACAATTTAAATAATCAGATTTTAAGGTAAAGTATGTATTAGAGGAAAGGAAAGTAGTGTCAAAATTATGTCCCCATAATTTTTTGTGGATTTATTAAACTATTTTAATATTTTAGAGGGGGGGGAGGGTTTCTATGTCCCTGGTCCCGTGCAGAAGACCATACAAAGAGAGAAAGAAACCATAAAAGTACATATTCAAAGATCTGTCAAGATAAGAAATGGAAAAATATTTTCTCCAATTCCTTTTTGTTATGAGAGTCTTAAGTGTCCCTTATAACAATACTTGCAACAACTCATAACTGGATAGTGTAAAACTGTGGTCCCTAGCTCATGGGCAACACACTGCCTGTCAGACCCTCTGATACTGACCACAGCCACAGAGAGAAAAACAGTTAAAACTGAGGCTGACAGAGAGACACCTACAATAAAGCCCACAGAGCTCTATCGTGTTTCCTCTGTATGATAGTTGGTTTGTTTCTTAAGCTGCAGCATCCAGTCTCTTATTTCAAAATAGACACAAAGCAACCCTACCATAAAAATTATGGTATTATTCCCAGCTTGTCATCTGTTAGCTCTGGGATAGCAAAGATTAGGGACCAATGATTTATTTGTACATTGCTCTGTGAAAAAGAAAATACTGCAATTGACTTTCCAAATGTTCTTTTCCTGTTCAAGGCTGATTGTACTGCTTATTAATATCAGCATTTTAGCAAGACCGTGTATTGTGTTTATATTCTGTGGTTTTTCAAACTGCGGTATACTTTTTTAAAACATTCAGATTTTAAAAGGAAAAACTTATTTAGTCCTGAATATTTCTTCACTATACTCATCCTCCCTTCCTGCTACAGATTCCTCCTTCTGGCAGTGACTCTACAGTGGCATAACACTGGAAAGTTTTCCGCCGGGAGCTGATTTTCACTTTAAAAGGTGAAAGTTAAAATTGTAAAATCTTTTTGTTTTCTATCTTTTAAGACAATCTTCTGAATTATTTCTACATTTACATCTTTTGTCTCCTCTGTAGATTACTGTGTTTCTTTCTTGGGCCACAGCATCTAGTCTCTTATTTCAAAATAAACACAACACAAGAAAATTTATGTAACAGTTAAAAATAGCATTCTTGAACCAGAGTTTTATACCAAGGTTTCATTGTGGCTACCCACCAGATGTTCAATTAATGGCCAGTCCATCTTTCTTATCCAGTATTTATTTAAAAACAAAACCAAAAACACAAAAGTATATGAACAAACAAAAGATCAGATTCTAACCTAAGTTATGCAGGTCTAAATCTGAGCGACAGAAGCAAATAAATTAGTCTGGATTTATACTGATGTAAAGATCAGATTCTGGCCTTAAGATTCAAATGTTAAATAAAAAACAAATTTTAAAAAGCTGTGTTAATTAACTGACTTGTTGCTAACAATTTTGACATATTTTTCCTTATCAAAGGCCACTTAACTGCTCTATACTTCATAATCCATCTGGAATAAGACAATCTATTTCAAAAACATCACTCAGTATTCTGAATCTCTATTCAGTTGCATTAATTATTTTATCAGAGTAATGTAATTAAGAAGCTTACCTTAGTAGAACAGGGTCTGATGTTACCTAACACAATCTTTCCTCCACAACTGAATAAAAATATATTCAGACAAATCAATGAAGTTGCACTAAAGTGGATCATCTTTTACTTGAAGAAATGCAAATGCTTTGCCTGGTTTCAGATTTCTGTGGAAAGGATTGTACACTATGAAGTCTTAAGTTAAGTATTTGGGAATGCTTACAGCACAAACAGCAGCCAACACATGTATCCTTTTATGCCTGGATTTAATAAAACGTATTTTATTTACACAACAGATTGTTGCATCTCATATAATTCAGTTTTCACCCTGCAAGCAAGTACTTCATATTACCCCATATCACAGAACTAAATATATTAACACTTTAGTTTAATTAGATTGTGCTAGGTCTTGATATATGTTACCATTTGAACATGAACTGAGTGGATCAGGTTGGTTAAAAAATAGTTAATCTGCATCTTAATCATTTTAAATGTGTTTACCTTGAAAATGAAACTACTGTATTGTTGTACCAGCAGTGCTGAAGAAGCACTTCCAGAATATGTAGGTTTCTGGTTTTAACTTAAAAATGATAACTACACACTGTGGTTTTAAAAAAAAAAAAAGGTCTGAGACTATGTGTCTATAAAAAGTAATTCATCTGTGCTATGTTGAAATTTTTTTTAGAGGCCAGTAATAGATTTGAGAGATCTCTCAAGCTCAGTTTGACATATCTCTAGGAATAAAGGGAATGAGAGTGGGCTAACTTTTAAAATAGTTTAAGAAAAAAAGTATTTTCCCTTTGCTATATGGTCATAGTATATGTAAAAATCTGAAAAACAGGAAAAAATGAACATTTAAAAGCATGAAGCCTTAATTATAAGCTCTATAAAAATTTCACACCCAAAAAGTACCTGGATTTGGAAACTGAATCTTACATGAGAGTTGTGGATGCTCATCTAAGTCAACGGCAGCTTGGAATATTCAGTATCACCCAAAATGAGACCATCAATTGTTATAAACGGTTTCACAGCATCTCTATATGACACTGAAAGACACCAATAACGTTTTGTTCGTATTTTAGTCAAGCACGTGGAAGTGTGCTAGCTGCCTGCAGAAACCATGTGGTGCCTCCTTCCATGCTGTATGAATCACGATTCAAGCTCAGGATGAGTCATCCCTCTGGTGGGCAGTCATTACTTAGACAGTGATGACAGGAGACCAATTCCTCCCTAATACCAGCCTTAAAACCAGCAGGTCAGAGACTACTCTGATCCTAGTACCTGGCCTTGACACTGGCCCCTGCTCTTCTGGTAACTGTGTCAGATTCCAACTTTGGGTTTCCTCCCAATTGTAACCCTCAGCTTCTGACCCGGGGATCATTCTTCACTCTGATCCTGGCCAAGTGTGACCTGTGACTTCCTAACTCTGGCTTCTAGACCTTGGCCTGCCCCTGATCATGATTTCAGCACCTGGATTCAATCCTTGTGTCTGCCATTCCTCATTCCATGCAGCATGGCCGAGTGGAACTCACAGAGAAGTACTGCAACAAGATGAAGGGCCATAGCAGATTAATTCCCTGGCAAAAACAGAAAAGTGGCCTGCTCTTGTAGGGCAGGGCAGGGCAAGGCAGGGCAATAAACCTATAATCTAGCTCAATGGTTCTCAACATTTTAGACTTGAGGCTCCTCTCACTAGAGTCAAGACTCCCATTGGAAAATGTCAGCTCTTAGTTTTCATTTGATTTTAGACTGCAAAAAATAATAGAGCAATTCTCCTGTTGCTAAGAACTCAGAAAGACCACAAAAGGACAGAATGCTTTTAACACAGTGGGTTCCTATTTAAAATCTCTAGGTTTATCTTGTGAATCATGTTTTACACACCTAATACTGCTAACATTGTACTGAATCCCACCCAGCTGTGAAGCTTGGGTGACCTACAGGGAACACCTGAAAAGCCTGGAGTGTTATCACCAGTGGAAGATCCTTGGCATAAAGTAGGAGGATCATCACACCAGTGTCCTCACCGATGACAACGCCACCAGTATGGACGTGTTGATTATTCGACATCAGTTGTGGTGGGCAGGGCACTGTGTGCGCATGTCTGATGTACGTTCGCTGAAACAACTGCTATGCTCCCTACTCAGCCAAGGACAAAGAACACATGGGGGCCAGAGGAAATGCTTCAAGGACACCCTCAAGGCAAACATTAAGAAGGGTGGCATTGACACCACAAATTGGGAAAAACTAGCCTGGGACAGGTCTACGGCTTACTTTGAGGAAAACCATCTTGCCCTGGAGACAGATAAACAACAGAAATGGAAGGAAAGGAAACAAGACCAAGAAATCCATGGTTTGACCCTCCTTTTAACCACCGCCTGTGGCATTTGCCAGTCTGTGACTCTAGGGATCTTAGCCAAACTGACTTATCTACAATCCCTTACTTGATCCATGGGAGTGGTCATCCTCAATCTTGAGGGATCACCGCTGTAAATCCCACAGGACACCTGAAAGGATCTCAAGGCACCCTAGGGTGCCTTGATCTAGCCCATGTATGATTAGGAATTGATCTTTACTCCTCACTCAGGCAAAACACCCAATGCCCTGTTTCAGACTAAGAAACATTGAAAAATAAAGCTCATCAATTAACAACAGTTCAATAATCAGTTGGCAGTCATTCAAGATACGCTTGTCAGTAAATATGCATTACAAAGACATTCAGTCACAAATGTACTTTAATTATCTGATGTTTCTAACGAATTACATGTAAAAGACAAGTTAATGAAAACATCATTAACATTACAAAATAAAACACTAAGAGGTTAGGAAATTCTAGGATTAAAGGAAAGATGATTCATTTTGCCTGTATTCATGACTGGAGCCACAATCCCTGGATGGGTTTTTATGGAAACAGGAATAGAGCCTCTCTCGACAAATGTTAAGTTGCTGATAAAAAGTCTGAGACACTTTCCCCCAAACAGTCAGAAAAATGGTTTAGCAGTTTTAACACTGTTTTCCCTTAACTTCATTCTAAAACAAAGATGAATCATTTTTGTTGAAAGCAAATAAATAAATCTGCGAAAGAACACGCAAATGAAAATGTTTAACCTGAATGATTAGGGGTTGGTAAAGTTGAAGTTCTAAGCAATCAAAAACAAGTTAAAAAGAGAAGTGCTATCTATTTTAATGACACCAGTTGCCATCAGCATCCCATTATTAACAATCATTGAAATTGTTTCTTTATTTTGGAAGAAACAATACTAATTGTAAAATGTATGATCCTTCAGTTTTAACAATTAGAACCTAATAAAATCTGTCAAGTTTGATATGATCAGATTATATCAACCGAATCTTTACCAGGTCACAAAAACCTTGGACGCAGGTGTTGCGGTAGGCGTAGTCTTTCTGGACTTTAGGAAGGCCTTCAACACTGTCTCTCACTCCACTCTCATTAAAAAATGAGATCGTGGTGTCGATGCCTACAGTCAGATGGGTCGCCAATTGGCTGGAGGGCCGCACCCACAGAGTGGTGGTGGACGGGTCATTTTCGACCTGGAGGAATGTGGGCAGTGGGGTCCCCCAGGGCTCAGTCCTCGGGCCCGCACTGTTCAACATCTTCATCAGCAACTTGGACGAGGGGGTGAAAAGCACCTTGTTCAAATTTGCAGATGACACTAAGATGTGGGGAGAAGTCAGCACGCTAGAAAGGAGGTACAGGCTGCAATTGGATCTGGACAGGTTACAGGAGTGGGCGGATGAGAATAAGATGGGATTCAATACTGACAAGTGCAGGGTACTGCACCCAAGGAGAAAGAATCAGCAGCACACCTACAGGCTGGGGAACTCCCTTCTCATCAGCACAGAGGCAGAAAAGGATCTTGGAGTCATTATAGACTCCAAGATGAACATGGGCCGCCAATGTGGGGATGCAGTCAGGAAGGCTAACCTCACCTTGTCGTGCATCTACAGATGCATCACGAGCAGGTCCAAGGAGGTGATCCTCCCCCTCTATGCGACACTGGTCAGGCCCCAGTTGGAGTCAGCCTCCACAAGAGAAGGCTGAGAGGGGATCTGGTGGCCGTCTATAAACTGGCCAAGGGAGACCAGCAGGCAATGGGAGAGTCCCTGTTCCCCTGAGCACTACTGGGAGTAACAAGGAATAACAGCCATAAGTTGATGGAGAGCAGATTCAGGCTAGATATCAGGAGGTGCTACTTCACAGTCAGGGCGACTAGGATCTGGAACCAACTTCCAAGGGAAGTGGCGCTCGCCCCTACCCTGGGGGTCTTCAAAAGGAGGCTGGATAATCACCTAGCCGGAGTCGTTTGACCCCAGCATTCTTTCTTGCCCATGGCAGGGTCTCGGACTTGATGATCTGCTCAGGTCCCTTCCGACCCTACAACTATGAAACTATCTTGTAGGTTCTTTTCATAAAAGTGAGCAATGAAGCAAACACTATTATTTCTTACAAGGTAGCCCCTACATTAAAATCTTGTGGTGACTTGTTCCCCATCGCTTATGGTAGGGATGTCAAACTCACCCTGCCCCGCAAACCAGATGACTGGCATAGGACTGGTCCGCAGGACATATTTGTCCCAGGTACCCCATCCCTCTCCCCCAGTATACCCAATCTGGTGATTGCTCCAGCCTGTCTGGGACTCATACTGCATGCTGCACAGATTATGGAGTGACTGGAATGGGCGCTGCATGCAGTGCAGTCTGGCTGAAATGACACACAGTGGCCACCCCAGCCAGACTGCACCACACGCAGTACCCACTTCAGCTGGTCAGGGACCTGCCCTGCATGTACACACCAGGATCCACGCTGCACACAGTATAGGTCTGAGACTAGCTGAAGCAACTTCCAGATCAGGTGTGTTGGGGTAAGGGGAGAGGGTCCAACGCCACGTCCTGTATCGGTCTGATCAGACCCAGGGGACATCACCAGGGACCAGACAGCCAGAATATGCTGCAGACCAGATCCAGCCCACAGACTATGTCTAACACCATTGGTTCAGTACATCAGTTATTACCAGATGATCTGGGTCATTTCCCTATTCTTTCTGTGTTGCTGGAAAGCTGAAAGTAGCCTGCTTCCTGTCCCTAAAGCAGGGGTGGGCAAACTGCGGCCCGTGGGCCAGATGCGGCCCACCAGGCTATTCTATCCGGCCCGTGGGGCACCTAAAAATTTAAAAAGTTAATATTTATCTGCCCCTGGCTGCCTGTCATGTGGTCGTCAATGCCTTGCCAAAACTCACTAAGAGGCCCTCCGCCCAAAATCATTCCCACCCCTGCCCTAAAGGAATCCCAAGAACTACTTCAGTTCCTCAGAGACCTCAGCTGGCAGCTCCTCCTTTAAGCGGTCAACAGGGGCATATATGTGGCGTACTTTATGGACACCCCGACACTTCTGTCAAAAGAGGCAGACACTGGCACATGCCTACCTCCAGTACCCCAGGTTGCAGTCCCTTTTCTGCTTCCACTAAAACCTCCTGCTATGGCTGCTCTTCTTCCCGCACATTCTCTGTTATATCCTCCCCATCCATAGCCCCACCAAGCTCCAGGACCTCCTGGCCAACCCTCCTTCTGGCTCTGGTTAAGCTGGCCATCGAACAGACCATGAAGGAGGCTCTGACCATGGGGAACCTGGATGAGTGTGAGGCTGTCTGTCTTCCTCTCACTCCTTCACGTACATCTCCACAAGGAGTTTTGCTAGCTGGTGCCTGCAGGCTCCTTTGTCTCTTTCAGGGGGCAGTGGGTGCTGGACAGTGCGCTCTGCTCTGGGTCCCCTTCTGGATCCCTGCTTCTGAAACTGCAACCTTGCTCCCAACCCGTCCTCTTTTTTTCGTTTGTTTAGTTATTTTCTCCATGGCCTTTCAGGGGTGCACAATCCCATGAAAGTAGTAAACAGGCCTGTCCCTAAAGGATGGAGCTATGGCAGCAGCGGTTCACCTCGCACTCCTCTGCACCCAAAGCCCGAAGACACGGCTCCCTATCCACGCCAACCAAGACACAGCTCCCTAATCATGCCAACCAAGACACGGCCCCCCCATCCATGCCAACCCATCCTCGCCAACCAAGACATGGCCCCCCATCCATGCCAACCCATCCTCACCAACCAAGACACAGCTCCCCATTTATGCCAAATGACACGGCTCCCTATCCACGCCAACCACTACAGAAACTGGCGGGCACAAATAAGTTTTTGGCCTGCTGGGGATGGCAGCCAGGATCCCTGGGGGCTCCTAGGGTCACAAGGAGCTCAAGAGAGGATCCGATCCACCTTTCCGGCGGGCC